GCTCAAAATAGGTCACGAATTGTAAATTCGTATGCCCCCCCCTCTACAGTATTTTGGCATTGTGTAAACTTTTTACGAAGATGGAGGAATGCAAAAATATATTCCGGGAATTCTTTAAGTTCCAGTCGGAACAACAGATGACAATATTAGAGCAACTACAGGAGGAAACTTTTAATAGACAAATGCAATTTCAACGAGAAATGGAACAGATGCATAAGGAGTTTCAAAACAAAATTCTGGAAATAACTGAGAAGAGGAAAGAGAAAAATCTACAAAATGATTCTTTCCCAGAGAATACAATATGGAATTCAATTGAAATATTCACGTACAGTCCAGATGAAGAGATAACTTTTGAGGAGTATTATAAAAAATATACGGACGTGTATAACAAGGACTGCCACTCGTGGTCTGAAGGAAAGAAGGTTAGGCTTCTTTTAAGCAAATTAGGAACTGCTGAGCATAACAAATTGGTAAACTACATTTTACCAAAAAAAAACTAGCGAGTTGACATTTACCGAGGCGGTAAATATATTAAGTGAATTATTTAGTAAAAGACATCTTTGTTTCACAAGAGGTGGAAATGTTTGAATCTGATGAAAGATGACGAACAAGACTATATAACGTACGCAGCCAATGTGAATAAGCATTGTGAAGAATTCAAGCTAGCAGAGTTAAGCGCTGACAATTTTAAGTGCTTAGTGTTTGTTCAAGGGCTGGTATCGGAAAGAGACGCAGAGTTGAGAAAATTAGTGCTGTCAAAATTAGAAAACAAACCAAGGATTGTAATACAGAAGTTGGCAGAAGACTGCACAAGATATGTTAGTGTAAAGAAAGATTCGAAAAAGATAGAACAGTCTGGCGTTTCGCATGTAAGGAAAATACGCTACAAAAAAGAAAGTCAGTCTACCAAAAAGAATTCTAAAATTGCGGATTATCAAACAAAAAGTGAAATACCAGAGAAAAATAAACAAAAACTCCCAAAGCCATGTTTTGCTTGCAGTGAACTTCACTGGTACAGATATTGCAATTTTAGGAATAAAAAATGTTTCAACTGTAAAAGAGTGGGTCATAAAAGCTCGCACTGCAGGTCAAAAAATAAAGACAATAAAATAAGAAAATTAAAGTCCGACGAGGTGAACGATGGAATAACCAGAAAATTTGTTACCATCGAAATAAGTAATAAAAAAATAAAAATGCAACTCGACACTGGTTCCGACCTATCTATCATAAATTTGCATACGTGGAAGAAGTTGGGGAAACCAACTTTAATGAAGACAAATAAAATCGCGAGGTCAGTGACGGGAGAAAAAAATACAATTTATTGGAGAATTTGTTACAAACGTCACGTTAAATAAAAAAACGCGAAAAGCTAAACTATTTGTCATAGAAAATACCACGAACTTACTTGGTACGAATTGGATAACAGAATTTCAATTATGGGATCTACCGATAAATTCTTTCTGTTACAAGGTTGAAAATTTAAACTCAGAAGCCCAAAAATTAGTAAAGAAACTTAAGGAAACATTTCCTACTGTTTTTTCTCCAGGTTTGGGAACATGTACCAAGATGGAGGCAAAATTCCAGCTAAAAGAAAACGCTCAGGCAGTATTCAAAAAGAAAAGGAATGTGCTGTTTGCTTCAATTGAACAGATAGATAAAGAATTGGACAGATTAGAGAAAACCGGTGTATTTAAAAAAAGTTGAATGGGTAACACCGACGATATACGTGAAAAAAAAGCTCCAGAAAGTAAAGATGAAGCCGACACCGAGAAAAACTGGGGAGCAAGTTACCCGCAGCCAAGGACATGCAGTATTATTAAATGATTTAAGTCAACTGAAGTCACCACAGAAAATGTTAAGAAGCACAAGATCAACAAAAGGGAAGCTAGAAGCTGAACAAATAGAACCACAAGAAGAACCTACAGAAACTGTGACTCCATCCTTAAGAAGCTCAAAGCGGAAGGTTGTTTCTGGTAACATTATGGAGATACCAAAAAATAGAAAAGTGGATTGGCTATATGATGTACTTGGTGAAAGGCGAAAAATTCACGTGCAGTAACCAGATCAGACGACGTTTTTCAGACGTGGTTGACAGCGGTTCCGCAGAAGAATCACCGATGGAGATGATGTTCGATACGTTTGATCAAACAACGCCTGCAACAATTTTACCTGAGTTACGCTGATCCAGAAGAAAAAAGAAAGGCAATTTATCATTTAAAAGTGGATCAAAAACGTAGGAGATACGCTACGATGTTGCTAAAAAAAAAATGAAGTTTTTTTGTTGTTTTTTCTTCATATTTCCTGTAAAAAATGAAAAATAAATAAAGAAAACTGTTTACTCCTATGGAGTAAAGTTTTAGTGGGGGATATTATAGTGGAACACACCTATTCTATATTTAATAAACTCTCCCACCTATAATAAGTAGAAGTAGTAAGAGTAACGAGTTGCTGAGTCACTCAGTGGGGCGGTCAGTCAGTCGATGCCGGATGACCGTTAGTCGGATACTAAAGTATCAGCAACCACAACTAGATTTTCTCTGTGTCATACCTATTATATGAAGTTCCTAACGTTTTGTACGTCAAACCTAATTTAGGACTGACTTAGTACAAATACAAGCCTCCAATGTGAAACCACTCCATAACAACAGCAATATTCAATGCATAGAGAAATGGTAGACATAAATTGGAAAAATGAAGTTACTTTCATATTGTGGATGTAATACATTTTTAAATGTTTAATTTCCAATATTACTTTAATAATCCTGAAAAAAATAAATATTAATTAAAATGTGTAAATCAGAAATGCATTTATTATCATCATCAGGACATATGTATCAAACAAATAAAAGCCAAATTTTCATTTCTTATTAAAATATTGATCAACGGCATATTTTGAAAATGCTTTTTACACAAAAATATATTTCTGTAGAAAAGAAAATATATTAATGTTTCCAGTGTTTAGGTGAAATTATTCTTTATGTTATCAATTTGAGTTGTGTGATAAAATTGACTTCAAAAAATGAATCTATGTTCAAGGAAAGTTATATCAAAAAAAAAAAAAAAGAAAAAAATAATATTTACTTCATCTATTTTTGTTTACTAGTTTTTGATGTGTTTATTTTTAATCATCAGTGTACATTTGGGTTGGTAAATTTAAATTATAGCATGAAGAGAAGATCACTGAATTTTCAGCAAGATTTCTAGATTTTCATTTTGTATAAGCACATAAATGAAAAATGATTGCTCTCAATAAATAACAACCAGATAACCAATTTCTTCCTAGGACCACAAGCAAGCTGATCAGCCAGCAAAAAGATTTGACTTGTTTTGCCAGAATTTACAAATAAATACAATTTAATGTCTATTTTGAATCATGGTGGCTACAACAAGATGACCATTGGAAAGTCTTATGAATAAACAGCAAGATGAAGAGATTAATTTGAAATGAATGTGAATTCTTAATCTTTTCTAAAGCTGATATACTTAGATGAATGATGAACAAAAAGAAAAAGATTTTTCTTAATGTTTACAGACCTGACTGTTGAAGAGACAATAATTTGCTGGAGAAATTTCCCACTTTCCGCACTTAGTCCACAGAAATTCAATCGCAGACATCTTATGATAATGTTTTTTTCAAGGCTTTGGGCCAAATACTCACAGCCTAAGTCTCCTATGCTGAAATGCAACAACAAACTGGTCAATCTCTAGCATTGATAAAGTCAAACTATACTCAAAACAATCTCTAATAGCGAATATATATATATATATATATATATATATATATGTTGGTTTTTATGAACAAGACTTACCTGCTTGTACTGAAGGACCCAGGTATAATGTTAGATACATGGATGACAGGTTTTGTGTATTTGAAAATGATGTTGAGGCTGGGGTTTTCCATCAAGCACTGAATACATTGGATTTTGCATTGTGTTTCACATGTAAAATGGAGAACAGTGTTGTTGTTCCTTTTCTCAATGTCTTCATACACAGATCAAATACAGGTTTTGTAACATCAGTATACCAGAAACCAACTTTTATGGGTTTATATACCCACTGGGCATCCTTTTGTCCTAAACAGCTGAAAGTCAATTTGATTGAGACTTTAGTGCATCGGGCCTGGGTTATATACTCAGAAAATAAATTAGATTCAAGAAGGTTACCCTTTAGAAATTGTGGAATCCAGCATTAGAGAAAAATGCAACAATTTTGGAAGCCTAGGCTGATTGGTCCCCAGAAAGGACCTGTCTATTGTCTTTTACTGTGAGTTGGTGAGGTGAGTGCAAGATTTGCTAAGCAAATTTCATTATTTTTCCACCAATCCATGTATTGTTTCGGGTACTTGACTTATATTGAGACCAATCCAGAACACTGTTCTGCCTACTAATCATATTAGTTCTGATAATTATAAATTCAGATGTCAGTGCCTAAAAAGGCAGAATGCATCAAAGGTAGGAGGCACAGATCAACCAACACATTTCCGCCAATATTCACAAGGAAATGGTGGACAATATAGATAGGTGCATTAATGTATCAGGTTCAGAAATAGCTGAACATTTTGATAAAAAACAGCAAGTGTGCTCAGTTTTATAGCCCTGACATATTCACAGTGCTGAGCAAGGCAAATACTGATGGTTTTGAATTGGTATACATCCTAAGGTGAAGGAAACTGAAGGAATGATTAGCCTTAAGTATTAGATTTGTTGTTTGTATATAACATTAGTCTGGGGTTATATATTTTTTAATCACTCTGCACTTTTTTTCATCCTCGATATTTGCTTTGATGAGAGAGGGCTAATAAACAGGTTTAGCTATTTTTTATCATTATATAACGGTATTACCAATTCACAGTAATATATATTTTGTGTTAACCCACTTATTTGCTATGAATTGTTATTTTTTTGTTATGAGTGTTCTTTTAATGTTTGTTTTTATTGCTCTAATAAAATTTTGTACTCCTGCAAAAAATTTAATTTCTAATAAGTTAATTTATAGAATACTTACTCATTATAATCAAGGCAGATATCAGATAGAAATTTACATGATGGGATTACTCTGAAAAGAATAACAAAAATTAATCACTCAGAGAATATTGAAAAAATATATTACTATGAAAGTGTTAAGTATAATAATAATTATAACAGTCTTCTTGTAGGTAGCAACACATGGGAAAATAGTACACAAAAGAATTTTTATGATCATAAAAAAAAGTGAATATCACTTTGAGGATGACAAAAACAGTTTTGAAGAAGAATCTTTTATGGGAACATAAACTACAATTAACATATTGTTGTCATAAATGTGATTGTCAAAATAGCAGAAAGTGATTTTTATTGCAATGTCTGGCTATATAAAAATGCATGTTTTTTCTATTTATTTCTTACAGTCTAGTGAATATTATCAATACACTTGAATGTCTTATATATTCTATATATGTATGTATGTATACACACACACACACATATATATATATATATTCTGTTTATTTTCAGACTTAATCCATTTCATAATACACACACATGCACATACATATATATATATATGTAAAATGTGTATGAATATAAATATATATATATATATATATATATATATATATATATATATATAATTTTTTATATATATTATTTATATATTATATATGCACGGTACTTATTGGAAAGTGGTGCTCAATATCAGTTATAGAGCTAACATATTTAGTTGGATCGATGTGAGTTTGTGGGCCTGGGTTTCACACTATTTGCGAATGTCAGACAAATGTTTGTCTGATGATTGCAAATAGCGTGAAACCCAGGTCCCAAACTCACATCAATCCAACTATATATATATATATATATATATATATATATATATGTAGTGAATTAAAAAACAACCTGAAGCAAATGAAGGAACCTCTCTTTATTGGTTGATTTAAAGCAATTACAATTACATTTTCAAAAGAAAATGCATCTTTTCTATCTGAGTAAACATTGAAAAATTACTGCCTCTTTCTTTTGGCAATTATGTCATGTTGAATCATTTTGATTAGATTTTAGCTTATTATTGCCTTATCTTTTACTAGATATTTCTTTTCAAAATTTGTTCTTTTAGAGGATGTTTATTGCAATGAAGTGTTGCTATACAATATTATAAAGTCATAATGTTAGGTACAAATGAGAATAAATTCTTTTCTTAGTTTGGGTGAATAAAAAAAGATAAACATTGTATGTTTACTAAACAAAACAAAAAGAGATTTTATTATTGTCAAACAGACCAGCAAGCTTTGATTGTAACATTTTCCAAGATGATAGACAAATGCATTTTTCAAATTTTTTGATTAATCAAACAATTTTATTCTTCTTTACTTACCTAGTGACTCTTTCTAAAAAATGTGATGTCAACAAACAATCCATAAGATGAAGTGTGTAAGTCTTATAGGCAGGATTTTCTATATAATTGGCCTGTAGAAGAATGTTATACAGAATCATAATCAAGACAAAAAATGGTAAACTATCAATAAATTTCAATGTATGTTTTAATTGCATCAAGTACTCATCAGTTCATTAAATATTTACTTTCTTTATTATGTAAATCTCATGTAATCCATGAAAATAGTATATATTACAAATTTTATATAATTGTTTACTTATATTTGCTATTACATTTCAATTAAGGGACAAGAATTTATTGATATAATTGACAGAATTGGAAAAAATATGTTCTTTGCTTATTGATAGACTTACCAACATAGCCACATTTTCATATGACATTGGGTAATTCCACACATAAATATGTTTGATATATTTGTAACGAGTCTGTCTCAATGAGGTTATAATGGTTGCAAACAGAACAGGGGGTGTATCAGACAGATGAGAAAAATCCAAGATAATCTGAAATAAAAAAGGAATATCTCTAAGTAATTGGTTAAGTTGAAGAATATGAAAAAGAAAAAAAAATTACATCAAATAGTAGAAGGAGCACCAATTCCAATAGTCTTCTCTAAAAAGTTAGCTCAAATTCAAACTAGGTATTCAATTTTCAATAAGAAACTTTTTGCAGCATATTCTGCTGTTATATTTTAAACATATTATTAAAGGAAAACAAGTTTTATTATTAACTGATCATAAGCATTTGTGAACTGCATTTTGTAATCTAAACTCTGCTAAGTCAGATAGCAATGGCAATTAGCAATTCCCACAGAATATATTGCAGATTTAGGCCATGTAAAGGGAGATAAAAAAATAGCTGACTGCTTGTCTAGAGCTACCCTAGCAGTTATGGTAGATCTGTGTGACTTGTCAGCTATAGCTCCTGCACAACTTAAGGACCCTGAATTACAAAAATTTTCAGAATTAAAAAAATACAATTTTAGTACTGATAATAATAGTTCCATATACTGTGATAATGTGTTTTGTAACCATATATACCTGGTGAATTATGAAAATCTATTTTCGATAGTATTCATACAATATCACACCCAGAAATTAAAGCCTTGTGTAAACTTATCAAAACAAGATTTGTTGGCTTCATATGGACAAGACAATGAAAGAAATGTATAATGAAAAAGCAAAATTCAGAGACATACTAAATCTGCTATTCCCCTTATTGAATTGCCTACTATTTGCTATAAATAGTAAGCCTAGTAATATAAAAGCAGGTAGGAAAGTTTCTTGGAAAGAGACACTACTACTAGACTCTGTTACTAGGTAGAGAGGTTTGTATCGAGATAAAAGTTATCTTCCCTTGACCCAAAACAAAAAGATATTAATAAATATTATTTATAGATATTCACGAGAATAAAAAACAGTCATGTGACCTGCATGAGACATCGTTAGATGGGAAAGTCAATCTTCCTCTTTTTGCTCCTTGAAGTTATAAGAAACAGGACACACATTTCAGGCTCATGACATCCAAACAGATAAGTACAAAATTTATATTGTTTTTGGTGCCCAGACTTTTGCAAGTAGATACATGCTCACTTTGCATTAAGAATTTTGAATATAAAAATATATGTACAAGTGTTTTTATACAAAGACTTTTGTGTTTTGTTTGAACTTTTCATATATTTATGTTGTTGTATGTTTCATATACTTTAAACAAAGTCTATGTTTCATATCCCAGCACAACAATTCTATGAGTTAACTTAAGCTTTTATCATTTTCTTTTCAAATGTATACTGAAGTGTCTCCAAAATTAAAAAAAAAATCATCCTGATAATGTATAACTTCTTTTATTTAAATAATAATAGCTACACAACATGACATGGTGTCTATGAAGTGGTAGGATCCAGTCATATTTCAGGGTTGTCAAGTTAGGTTTTTAGGATGTTTTATATATATATATATATATATATATATATATATATATATGTGTGTGTGTGTGTGTGTGTGTGTGTGTGTGTGTATATACATATTAAGACATTTTTATGTTTATAAATTCTTTTTATAGATACAAATATTTAAGTAAATGCTCTGTTTATAATAAACAGTATTAATAACATTTACCGGCCTGAATGTCCGAGAAATTTTCATCGAAAATATTTGTCCTCTGACAGGAATTGAACCTGTATCCTATATGGAACCATCATATAGCCTGACTTGCCTTAAACAATTGAGCCACAGAGGATCATTCAGTTAGCAAGGTCAATTTTACTGCTTTTAAACTACAATCTTCCATGAATCTCTCACTTACATTCATATCTACTCAAAGCATATCCAAATGTAAATAAATGAGGTCACACATTATGAAATGGACAAAGTCCGACAATTATTTTAAGACATTTTTATGTTTATACATTCTTTTTATAGATAAACATAAAAATGTCTTAAAATTTCATAATATTCATTTCATAATATATATATATATATATAAATATATATATATATATAAATGAAAATAGGCTGTCAAAATATGCAGAATTTAAATTACATAATCCAGCAGCTTATCAGAAAGCCAACGGTTAGAAATTTAAATGTAGCTTTGTGAAAAGGCAAATTGAATCAGCCAATGACAAATTAAACACCCTTAATAATAGAAAAAAACACATCTACAATAAACTCAAACAGACAATTACTCCTGGTCAAATAAAAGAAATTATACTTAGATGTACAGAAATTACTAATAAATCAGAATGTCAACACTGGTTAATAATTAAAAAAAAGTGAATTTATTATACAAAGGATATATCCATCTTCCAAAGAAAATGGATAAATTTATCAATGTTTGCAACTATGAATTAACTGTCAAACAGAATTATTTAACTTGGGACCCAACTGTCATCTATACTGCAAATATAATAGTTTAAATAAAAAAAAACTGAAATAGAGATATTATATCAACATATTTCTATATGTTGATATAATATCTCTATTTCAGTTTTTTTTTATTTAAACTATTCAAGAAGAGCAATTGATAACAACAAAATCAGAATTTTGGGATCTACTCAAGGCTGAGGCTATAAAAGATAGACATGACAAATGGAAAAATTCTTCTAAACTACTAACAAAACCATTAAAAACCATTGTCAAGGAGTTATGTAAACATCCAGATATTATTGTGAAGAAAGCAGACAAAACAAACATCTTTGTAGTTTAAAACAAATCTGATTATAATACAAAGATATAACAAATACTTGATGGTCATATCAAATATCAAAAAGTTAACAGGAATCCTATTAACCAACTGAAATTAAAAATCAACAAACTAATCATAGCCAATAATTCAGAACAAGACAATTTAAAACTTTCCAAAATAATTGGCAATTATAAACAAGGTTACATTTATGGAACCATAAAAACACACAGAACAAAATTTCCTCTCTACCCTATTATATCCAAATTCCCCACTCCTGTTTATCAACTAACTAAAATCATTAACCAACTTATTACACCATACATTCCCAGTAAATACTGCATCAAATCAACTCTAGAATTAATCTAAATTTTAAAAATACAAAAACCATAGCTTCACTTAATATTGAAAATTTATTCACTAATGTCTTAGAGAAATGATTTATATTATTATGAGAAATATATTTATATATATATATATATATATATATATATATATATATATATACCTCCATTAAAATTTAGACCCAACATACTATGGAAACTACTTTTATCTTGTACTACTGAAGTAAGTTCCATTCTTTGACCACAAAAACAATATATATGTACAATGTGATGGTATTTCCATGTGTTCAGTTTTGGGTACAACTTTTAGTAACTTTCATATGGCTAATCTCAAAAGTAATACATTTAATCTAACACTTTCACCCCGGCCCCTCAAATTCTGCCGTCTTACTCTCAGGGTTGAGGTGTTTTCTTGGTCTTAACCGAACTTAAGGGAGTGGCCATAGGCCCCCTGAGCATCCGTAGATTATTCGACCGGTCTGCTGGTTTAATCCTGCTTCCTGCCCACGTTGTGATTTGTTTGATCCAGAAAGCAGAAGTGATGTCCGTTCATTTGCAGTCGACTGAAGATGTAGACACAGCTGGGGAGTCTGCACTAAGAAATTTAGAATGCAGCAAAAAAAAAAAAATATCTGCAGAAAGCTGGACAAACATCAATTCAATGGTTGAATTGGTACTTTCTTTTATATAGCAGAAAAGAATAGTAGAGAAGAGAAACGGGTTACAGAAAAGTAAAAAAAAAGCTCATACACTGGATTCTAGACAGAGAGAGAGTGTATGTGATTATCTTGTTGCTAAATCATCTCAGAACAATATATAACTCTTGCGATGGAGGGATAAAGATTTCTGTGTGAGGCTTAAAGTTATAGTGGTGTTCCTCCTCCCAACGCTTAGCCCGATTGTAATTCTCTTTCTCTTTCAAGAATTTTCTCCCATCTATCTTTTTCAGCATAACTACGCATTTATATAGATAAACCCGGCTGGTTATAACTGACCCTCAGCCCTACTACTTCGTATATGATTATCACAGGGTTCTGGCTGCTTCAACCAAAATCATGTGAATTTCAAAGTTCCTTCTAGCTTACACAGCTCTATTTCAATTTTTAATCAATAAAAATTATTTCAACTATTTCCATTGTCTTCTGATGACCCAGATTCAATGGGTACAACTTCTGCCCTAGATCAGATTTCCCCATCAGTAAAAAAAATGCTCTAATTTAAATTCGCTATTCAAATCCACTCCAATTTCACTAAAAAACATATACATGTGGGTGTTTCTCAGACTCTCTCTCTGTCACATAATATTTTCAGAAAAACCCTCCATCTACCTAAGATATATTGATGATATCCTCATCTTAGTAAGAAACATTGATGAAAAACATGAACTACAAAAACAATTCCAAAAAACTCTGTCCTCAAATTCACATATGAATTTAATAATAACAATAATAATAAAATTCCTTTCCTTGATATATTGATAGACACCAATACATTCACATTCACTACCCCCTCATATAAAAAAACCTACTAGCATAAACTCATGCACTCCTAATTATAAGAGCGAATGTTCTAAGTACTACAAAATAGCAATTATACAAAATTTAATAAACCGTGCAAAAGTTAACTCATTCACAAAAAAGATTTTCTACACATAATGACTTTCCAAACTACATTTTTGATGAACAAGTAAGGCAATCTATTATAAATCTTAATATAAATCAAATAGAACATAATATTTCTCAAATAACCCTAAACATATCAATCTTTGCTATTGTAATCAGATGTATTTTAAATATAAACAAGATGAAACAAATCCTAAAAAAACATATAAATACTAATATATCCCCCACAGATTCCAGTAAAAAAATAAGATTAATTATATACTACACTAAATTCAATAATACTAACTTAATCATACACACGATTGTTTCAAAATATAATTTTGCATTTGAAATCATTAGTAAACCAATTAATGTATTGCAAAAAACCAACATTATATATCAATTTAAATGTCCCTTGGGAGATGCACCGATGACAAAAAAGCTAATAAATATGTTAGTTATACCACAATCACGTTATCTAAAAGACTCACTCTACACATGAATGATCTATCATTGCTCAACATCTACAAAAACATTCCTGTCCACATTCACATTTAAGAAAAATATTCATGGACTAATAACAGTAATAAGAAGAAACTACTCATTCTTGAAGCTATTTTTATTAAAAACTTAAAACCAACATTTAATTAATTATGAATTTAGTACAAATATTCTGAAATGCTTATAGTATATAGTTTTGAAAAAATATCTAAGTTACAACTAACAGTTTTAAAAACAAATTATAACCTTCTATTAATAATTCAATTATTAACTAGGTTACCTCCCTTACATTAAAATTTTAAAATTATGCAATTGACATTACATTCATGAGCATATTCACAATTGTAATAATTCAACCACAATGAATTTGTCCTGCAACATAAAATTTTTAAAATCAATGTTTGTGACTTTGCACATGATCTGAATTGTTAACAGTTTAACTACAAAAGAAAAAAATTATTTTGGACAAACACAATTACCCAGAACTGAACTCATGGAAATACCATTACATTGTATATTGTCTTAGCCATCAAAACCCTGATGATGATATTGGAAAATACTGATAGTACTCGGGGAAAAATAAAAATGAATAAACATAACCACAGTAGCTTTCTTACTGTCTTTAATCATGAAAGAAGAAGGCTTATACATTATTACAAAAGGATTTTATTGAAAACAAGACAACACATCATGTCTAATTTTTTTAATGAAACATGTTTAAATGGAAATATGTTGCCAAAATATTAGTAACACACACTCACACACACATATATATATATATATATATATATATGAATATAAGATATTGCACATTGAGGGCTGATGTTAATAAAATAGTGCTCAATGTAATATAACAGAGCTATTAAGTATATATTAATAAATATATATATTATCCCTCACCAGTAATGTAATCTTCAGGTACTGGGTAGAGACTGATTTTTACATAATTTAAATTTAAAAAAAAATATCTGGTTAACCCAATGCTGGTACAGTCAATATATTATACTTGGATTGCACTGTTTTATTTAGAATATATATATATATATATATATATATATATATATATATATATATATATAAAAATGATTTAAAATAGATGGGATTCATATTTTATATTTAAAATAAACAGGGATTATCAATATTCATTAGAAATATATTAAAATAGATGAACCTAAAACTATATAAAAAAATCTTTTAAAAAAACATAAACAGGGATTACTAGGTTTTTTTTTTTAATTATATAAAAATAAATGGACCTAAAACCATAAAAAATAAAAATTATTTAATATCAAAAATCTATTTTCAATGCAAAAAAAAATTGTATTTAAGATAGGTGGCATTTGTTTTATATTTAAAATAAATGGGGATTAAAAGATTTATTTTATATTATATTTTAAATAAACAGGGATTAATTGTATTTTTTGCATTAAAATAAACAGGCCTAAAAAATTGTATATGCTCAACATATAATAAGTGAACAGAAAAAATTAAAAAAAGGTGGTTATAATTTACAGTAAAAATGAATCTGGATCAATGTAGTTCAACAGATATTTATTTTTATGCCTACATGTGATCATCAATTCATTTCTCTTGTTTAATAATTTAGGGTTATTTAAGTGTTTTAAGACTAATTTTTCTACAAGGATTAAATTACATCTATCCCTTTTCCTACTGTAAGATTTGTTTTTTGCTACAATACAATTACTGCTATTTTTTAATTGCCAGAAATGTTTGGAGAAAGCAGTGCTAATAATGTATCTTACATTACCTAAAGTCATTCAATGATGATAGCAACAAAATTTCCAAGGATTTTCAGTGGAAGCAATATAAAATTTGATATTGTTACCAGCATGTATGTTAGCTTGGTATACAATATTACATTGTATACATTGGCTGTTGCATTTATTTTTAAAATGGTTAGGAATGAAATGCATTGGTATAAAGGGTTTTTCCCCTTGTTTTTTCTTTTATATATATAGATATATGTATGTATGTGTGTGTGTCACAAATTGTTCCACACAAAGAAAGTAAAAAACATAAAAAAATAACAAGCAGTAAAAGGCTGAATAAAAGACAATACTACAAACATTGGTCCATCTTAAATTCCTATTTAAAATACATAGTAATTACTACTGTCCTCTATAATCAGCCACCGAGTCTAAGAGCAATGGAAAATCCTCACCAACAGGCTGTCCTATGACTCTCAAGTGTTTTTTAAAACATCAGTCATTTCTTCCTTTCAAAAGAAAAATAATTGACTTCTACATCTCTACACTGTGTTTAATTTGTGTTATGGTCCGGTTCCTTGTACCACGGTGATAGTTCAAGGTAGAACCAATAAAGAAGAACACAAACACAGGTATGGAATAACACAGATATATTACAAACAGGAATATATACAGAGAAGTAGAAGTGTTAGTCTGAACAATCAGGTTTAGTAGAGAGAACAATGTAGTCTCGACCAGTATCACTATTCCAATGTCTTGCAGTAATTGTCTGAACGCGACTCTGTTTTGGACTGCCTCTGACTTAACTCTTGACTTGACTTGAACTACTGATTGACTCCTTGCCTACTTTTGAGGCGCAGTATTTATTAAGTATGGAATAGTCCATTATTATTATTATGGGTAAGATCCCATAACAATTTGGAATATGTTTTTGTTCAAATTTTACAAGTGCAACTGTTTCAAAACATTTTTTCTTTCATTATTGCAACAGTAAAAGTGAATATTTTACTATTTCACTTGTAAATTCAGACATATTTACTAAATATAAATCAAAAGTAAAGTAAATAAAAACTAACTACATCTAGATTTACAAGAGATTAGTAATTTGAATTTTTTAAATATTTTTTCAGTGTTAGGATTTATGAATTATTATTATTAACCAAAAAATTATTTTAGAATTTAATTAAAAATTTGATAAAAAGTTAAAAATCTACTCTCATTTACCTTTGTCAGTGCTTCATGCTTTTCAATGCAACGTTTTGCATTTTCTTTAATCCAAGGATTTACTTGTGAATTTGAACAAATGCATAGTTTCTCATATGCATGCAAAAACTTTTTCAATTCAATGATCTCTTTAGGAATCTCTTTTCTATTCTTCTTTCTTCTAGAATTCATTCTTTTGCTGGGAAATTCTATAAAGGAAAATAAAAATACACTATTGCTGATTATCATTATTTATATGCTACAAGCTTTTCTATTTCACTAGTTTTATTAAATATAATTTAAATTTATATATTTTTGTTTGATTATTTGGATTTTCTGTAATTTTTTTGCTTTGCTGATTGTATTTTTTTAAGCTGATATATTTCTTGAGGGTTTTCATTGAAAGTAATATTTCAAAGATTTTTCAAATATAAAATAGCTTTGTGATATTAACTGAAAAAAATATGTAAAATATTTTATATATTTTTTAATTAGTTGAGATTCTGTTTGCAAAAATAGACAAAAATCTTCTGAGTGCAGCTCTCACTGTCTGTTTCTGTAACTATCTGATAACGTGGACATCCTGCTCTGCAGTAAACCTTTTTTTAAATGAAAGTTATGTTAATAAAAATTAACACTAAAAAAGAAGATTTTTTTATCTGTACATTTCTTTTACTAAAAACAACATACACTTATTTATTTCTATAATATAAGGGGGTGCTGGAAAATTATCAACCAGAACCACTTCCCAAATCTGACCAAATATTAGAATTGTTTTTGAATTTCTTTTTAGGTGAGATGAGAACTTTTCAGCACCACATTATAACACTTCAATTTGGTAGACTTATTTTTTCATGTTGATGTTAAAGCAGTTGAACATATATGCAAGTTTTATTTGCAAAATTTACAAACAAGAATTTGTTTTATTTAGAATACAGAATTTAGAATAAATGATATTTTACAATAAATAATACTGAATTTATAATAAGGGGAATTCTAATTATTTACTTGTTATAATCAACATTTAAGAGAAATTCTGAAGACAAAGAAAAAGTTGCAATATTTGAGGGAATATTTTTCAATTGATATCAAAATAGAAATTAAATGGATTCATTGAACTAAAACTCGTTTTATAGATTTAACCTAAACTGAATTTTCAGGCACATGCATTTCTTAATAGTAATGAAATAACTATAATGATTATGAATCAGGAATTAAACTGTAACACTATGTGTGTCAACCATGATCAGCAGTAACCAAATATGTCACTCAGCCATTGGTCCTCAAGTTCCTTCAGACTGCTGTGGTTACCATTTAGCTGATTCTTCACTCGTTAGCATATGACTTGTTTTGTCACTGGTATTGTGTTGGTGTCACAGTTCCACTCGGCTGGTGTTTGTTCATGACCATTCACTCCTCTGCCACATTGTCTCTTTGAGGGTGACAAGATCATTGATGAAGCAAACTTGCAGTGAAGATGGTTCGACCATTTGGGAACTTCACTAAAGAACAAGAATCCTTTGGAATAAAGAATAAACTTGGGTTAAAAACATAACAATGATTTGGTTTATATATAATTTGTTGTATACAGCAGTTTAACCTTTCCCACTTGTTGTTATAAACAAATGACACTGGGATTTCCTTTGCAGTGTGCAGCTTGTTTTAGTAGCAACTTAAATTTCTAAGTTCTTGTCTTTATGTCCAGCATAAGATCTTTGATCAGGAGGTCTCAGTGAACTATTCAGATTCTGGTCTGTAGCTTTCTGTCTCTCTTCTTCTTGTGTCTCTGAGTCCAAAATTTCCAGCCTATATGAAGTTCTGCATCTAGAGAAAGTGGGGTTGACTAGGGTCTGGGTTCAGTTGTCTTCTGCCCTAAGTATCAACCTTTTCTAAATTTCCATACAAAAAAATACATTTACATGGTTTTCTAAATTTAGGGTTGTCCAGCTCCCTTTCAAAAGTGATCAAAGGGATCAAGCTACCCCTTAACTCTCTTTACACTTCACCTCGTACCATCACTCTATATAGGCAGTGCTAATTTCTTTCTCGCTTTTCTCTTTCTTCTCCTTTCTCTTCCTTCTTCTATTTTCTCAACAGTCAACCTCAGCTTGGCTTCGTGGGACTGGAGTGATAAATTCAACATCCAGATGGCACAGCTAAGACAAAAGGGATTTTCAGTCATTAGTTCTTATCAGTTTGCCCCATGCTGGAATCCTCTCAATCAAGCAGGCTGCTCAAGAATTGGAGAAATAAAAATCTATTTCCACTCTCCTTAAAACGAAAGTTTATCTTTTCTCTGTCTAGTGCATTTGTTTTACGATCAAATAGACCACATAACTTTTTTGTGCATGATCACTTTAAAATAGTAATTAATTTTTTCTTACCACTTGTATCCAAAGAAATCCGAATTAATGTTTGGATATAAAATTTTCTCTGGACAAATGTTGCCAAAATTATAATGACAAACACATGGGCATTCTTTTCTTTTGGGTGGTAGATTTGAAACAGATGTTTTTTGTTTTTTTGTTTTGTCAGGGGAATCATTTCACTGATCACCTAGTTTTCCCTATTGACAACATATGTTTTTATTTTATCTGACATCTTTGTGGATACCTAAATGGTCTTTTTCTTATTGGTGGTAGGCAAGGAAGGACAAGCAATCTTGGGTTTACTTGATCTTACTAAATTTCATCTCGTTAAATTTGGATTCGATTCTCTTTGGAAACATGATTTTTCAACACATTTTGTTCTTTTAATTTTCTTCTCAACTTTTCAATCCATCTTTCTGCAATTTCAACAATTATCATCCAATTTGTAGACTCTCTCTTATTTCTTTCTTTCTCTTTTTTATTTGATCAAACTCTGGAGATCTTAGTCTCACAAAACCATTTTAATGAATCATCAAATATTAAATTGTTTTCATAATAACTGATTACAAAAACAATAAAGTTAGAGAAGACAAAGGAAATTGCATCAGTATTACATATTTTTGTAATTTTTTTTGTAAAATAAGATATTTTTTATAAGTAATAGAAAAATTAACTTCTCATTCAAAATAAATATATTTTCCTCTTTAGAGCAATTAAAGCAGAATGTATTAGCAGAATGTATTTGTGACATTATACAGAGATGAAAAGTTAAATTGCAATGCTCTGAATATGTGTTTCCAGTTCCTGTACAATCACCAAATTTAAGCAGCATCAAGCCTGGAACCTAGATGAATGATTACTTGGGAATAACAGGTGCTGTAAGCTTGGATGTGTGGGTGGTGTAATAGATAAAGGCTTGGAATTGGAAATCAAAGAGCCAAGGTATGAATCCACCTCTCCCCCAGCTATGGGTTAACCAGTAATCCATTATTATCACAAAAATAAAATTCTTACAATCTAATAATATTTTCTGGCTTGAAATAATCTGAAATGGTTGATAAGCTGTAGAAAAGAAATCATGAATATGTATTTTGATTTATTCAATATTAAATGCACCGATAACATGACTGGATTACAGAAAATGATCGCATATACAAATCAATAGATGCACATATACTAAAATAAGTAAAATATCAACAATACTCAGACTTATATTATTGCTGTGTGTCACACATTTTCTTTTTAAGAAAGTGATGATTGATTTTAAATCATTGTTATAATTTGTGGAGAAAAATGATGCATTTCAATATTATTATTAATTCTTGCTGATGTGACCTCCATCTTCCTATTTTTTGGATAGGAGTCATTTCTTCAGTATCTGTCTATATTTCAGAGATGAGGTATTATGTACATTATTCGGACTATTGTCCTCATCTTTGTCGCCATATTTATTACGTTTCAGCTTTCTTCAGGTGGTTGGAATGTCAAACTGAACTTTTATTTTATTCACTGGTGTAGACTGTTCTAGTTCCATGTTTAATGGATGTCAGTTATCAGTTATCTCCTGTTAATTTCCCTCTGAAAGTTCTCTTAGCTGGGTATTGAACTCACACTCTTTGGGTCCAGTCACTGGATCTAACTAATGCCTTTATCCACTGTGCCATGTGTCCTTGAGGACAAATGTACCACTGTGCTATGTGTCCTGTGTATGAATTTCTGGGTATTATAAACATAATGTCTTCAGCAACCATTTTTTACCAGTGCCCATATTGCAATTTTTGCTGTTATCATTGCATGTTTTTACCAGAGCTAATATTGCAATTTTTGTTGTTATTATCCCTTTTCTCTGGCACTCCTTATTACTGGCTCCCATATTGTATTCATTTCTATGCTTGGTTGGCTCAGGAGATTTTTGTTGTCTAGCAGATGTGATTCCTAAATTTACGAATTTTCTAATGGTGTTCTTTGTCTATGATCTCAACCGGATTGATCCCACAGAGGGTGGTGATCTCCCTTCTCTCTCCATATGTGGTCAGCCACGCCTGATTTTTCCACTTCCCCTCGAATAATGCAAATAATGAGTCCAAATTTAAATTAAATTTAAATCAAAAGGAAAAAAATATTTCAGTGGGGGAGGTGCAAAACAGCTTGATCTGACCTCTTTGATATGTATTTGATGCAATACTTGATTGAATGAATTGATGAACAGATTTCAACATTAATATGACAGTTGAATTGTCACAACAAATATGTATTGTAAGACACTACCCACAGACTGGTGATTTCTTGCTAAACTTGATGTCCATATTGTCTCATTTTGATTTTGCCAATGTGAACTCCATCTTCTGGCTTTTTCCTTCTATGTTTTGGATAAGAGTCATTCCATTATTTAAATTTAATTTAAATCAATGGGAATCAAATTTCAGTGGGGGGGGAGGTTGTGCCCACCAGGTACTCCTTTTGATCAAAATGAAATATACTTATCCAAGCACCCTTGAAGTCATTCCCTTGTTCAAATTTAAATTTAAATTTAAATCAAAGGAACAAAATTTTCAGTGTGGAGGTTTGTGACCCCTGGGGAGCCCCTTTGATCAAAATGATCTTGCTGATGTGACTGCCATTTTCTGGCTTTCTCCTTCTATATTTTAGTCATTCCTTTGTTCAAATTTAAATTTAATTTAAATCAAAGGGAAAAAATTTACTTATCCAAGTACTCTGGGTAATGTAGTTTCAGAATACATATGTTTATGGGGTTCTATCTCCAAAACACTAGGAGGAGTTCGATAACAAACAGACACACAGAGGCTACAACTTTATATATAT